CATGCCAGGCTTCCCTGGCCATCACCAACTCCTGGAGCTTGCTCAAACTCATATCCATCAAGTCAGTGATGCCATCCAACCACCTCATCCTCTGTCATCCCCTTCTCCTCCTGCCTTCAATCTTTCACAGAATCAGGGTCTTTTCATATGAGTCAGTTCTTTGAATCAGGTGGCCAAAGTATTGGAGCTCCAGCTTCAGCATCAGTCCTTCCAAAGAATATTCAGGACTTATTTCCTTTAGGATTGACTGGTTGGATCCTCTTGCTATCCAAGGGACTCTCAAGAGTCTACCCCAACACCACAGTTCAAAATCATAGTTCTTTGGCTTTTAGCTTTCTTTATGGTCTAGCTCTTGCATCCATACATGACTACTGGAAAAACCATAGCTTTGTCTATATGGACCTTTGTCACCCAAGTAATGTCTCTGCTTTTTAATATGCTGTCTAGGTTGATCATAGCTTTTCTTTCAAGGAGCAAGCGTCTTTTAATTTCATGGCTGCAGTCACCATCTGCAGTGATTTTGGAGCCCAGGAAAATAAAGTCTCTCACTGTTTCCATTGTTTCCCAATCTATTTGCCATGAAGTGATTGGACTGGATGCCATGATCTTAGTTTTATCTTTAATAATGCTTTTCATTTGATCATAGACAATAAAGTGTTACTATCTTTATTTTACAAGTGAGGTAATCCATATATGCAACCACCAAGTAAATTGGCCAAACATACCTGTCACGGACTGAATTGTGTTCCCCCTAAATTCGCATGTTGGTGCCTTAACCTCAACATGACTGTATTTGGAGATAGTTTCTTTAAGGAGATAAATAAGGCTAGATGAGGTCACAAGGGTGGGTGCCTCATCCAACAGGACTGATGTCCTTATAAGATGAGGAAGAGAGCCCGGGGGAATGTATGTGCACAGAAAAAAGATCTGTGAGAACACAGCAAGCAGGCCCCCAACAGCAAGCCATGGAGAGAGCTCACCAGAAACCACCCCTGCTGGCAGCATGATCCTGGGCTTCCAGCCACTAGAATTGTGAGAAAATACATTTCTATTTGCTTAAAACACTCAGAATATCCTGTGGTATGCTGTTACAGCAGGTATGCAGTCAAATATAATGTCCAACTACAAGTAGCAGAGTGAAATTAAACCTATACAAGATGGCTTCAAGCCCATTCTCAACTATTATACTGATTTATGAATTTGCCTTGACTTCTAGTTCAATTAAAGAATGTATATAATAACTATTTGTTAATATACTTAATTGCTTAACTTCATGAACATTTTCTCTTCAATAATTATTTAATGTTTCTTAGAATTTTGTTAAAAAGACATCCATGCCCTTCTAACCTAAGAAAGAATATACTCTTTGATCTTACATTTAAAATTAAATCCTTAAAAGGTAATCAAAAAGTTTGGAAAAAAAGAATGTTTAATTGCCTAAATAGTTAAAAATATATATACAGTGATATAATGTAACTATTAAGAACCAATTTTGGAGACTATTTTATGATATGAGAGATGTTTACAATTTTGAATATAAAAGGTTGTAATATTATGTACATAGAATCATCCCAACTTTGTTAAATTAGGTACTTACATTAGTACCTATGCATATTAATTCTAACACACGTATACTATGCATGTAAGTATGTACGTGTACCCATATATCCATAAATAGATGCATAGTAAAAAGAATGATGGAAATATACCAACATATTAACAGTGGTTATCTCTGGTGGTGGATTATAGGTGATTTTTATTTTTGTTCTTTATATCCATTTTGTATTTCTCATTGAACATAAACATAGCATGTCTATTTTTTTTTCTCAAAATTGCAAGTAATATGTTTAGGAAACCATTAACGACAAATTCAGCAGCTTTCTTGAGCTGATTTTGCATTCCTCCAACTAGACCACTTAGTTTACTTTCAAACAGCCTCAAGTTGCTCTAGGTTCTCAAGTTCTGAAGCACAGATAGATCCTTAATATCTCCAATGAAGACTATTTTTAAAATTCAAGCAAACAGAACACTTCAGCATTATTTTTTTCTTCAAGCTGTGCTGACTATAGGTGGCAGAGTCACCCAGTGTTATCTACTTGGAAGGGCATTCTGATATCCAGAGACCAAGAGGAACTTAAATTATGGATGCCTGTGAAGGTCTGTTTTCTTTTATTTATTTATTTTTTGGTCTTGTTCCCTCTGAGTTTGATGATGTTAGCCATTTAACATAATAGACTAAATATCTATTATTTGGATATTTTGGATTAAATTTGGGTATTTGGGTTAATTATTTGGATAAAGTATCTATGGAAAAAGAAAAAATATATTGCACTTAAGAGCTTAAGAATAAATTCTCAAAAAAAAAAGAATAAATTCTCTTTTCATGGTTCTTAATTATAGAAAACAAGTTTTGTGCAGTCTTGATTAATATGTTCTTTAAGGACAAAATAAAAGTGAGTATTTCACTCCTTGCTTCTTCTGTACAGTATGTATGTATAAGTACATAGGTTTTTCAAGTTATTTCTACACGATATTGCTCGAACAACTTACCTTTGTCTCTGCTCACCTCCAGTATTTTAAATTCACAACCTTTAATGCTACTTTACTGCAATTTTTTTTTTTTAAATTCTCAGTTCAGTTCAGTCACTCAGTCGTGTCCGACTCTTTGTGACCCCATGAATCGCAGCATGCCAGACGTCCCTGTCCATCACAAACTCCCAGAGTTTACTCAAACTCATGCCCATCAAGTCAGTGATGCCATCCAGCCATCTCATCCTCTGTCGTCCCCTTCTCCTCCTGCCCCCAATCCCTCCCAGCATCAGGGTCTTTTCCAGTGAGTCAACACTTCACATGAGGTGGCCAAAGTATTGGAGTTTCAACTTCAGCATCAGTCCTTCCAATGAACACCCAGGACTGATCTTTTTTAGGATGAACTGGTTGGATCTCCTTGCAGTTCAAGGGACTCTCAAGAGTCTTCTCCAACACTATAGTTCAAAAGTATCAATTTTTCGGCCCTCAGCTTTCTTCACAGTCCAACTCTCACATCCATACATGACCACTGGAAATACCATAGCCTTGACCAGATAGACCTTTGCTGGCAAAGTAATGTCTCTGCTTTTTAATATGCTATCTAGGTTGGTCATAACTTTCCTTCCAAGGAGTAAGTGTCTTTTAATTTCATGGCTACAGTCACCACCTGCAGTGATTTTGGAACCCCCAAAAATAAAGTCTGACACTGTTTCTACTGTCTCCCCAACTATTTCCCATGAGGTGATGGGACCAGATGCCATGATCTTAGTTTTCACAATGTTGAGCTTTAAGCCAACTTTTCACTCTCCTCTTTCATTTTCATCAAGAGGCTTTTTAGGTCCTCTTCACTTTCTGCCATAAGGGTGGTGTCATCTGCATATCTGAGGTTATTGATACTTCTCCCGGCAATCTTGATTCCAGCTTGTGCTCCTTCCAGCCCAGCGTTTCTCATGATGTACTCTGCATATAAGTTAAATAAGCAGGGTGACAATATACAGCCTTGACGTACTCTTTTTCCTATTTGGAACCAGTCTGTTGTTCCGTGTCCAGTTCTAACTGTTGCTGCCTGACCTGCATACAAGTTTCTAAGAGGCAGGTCAGGTGGTTTGGTATTCCCATCTCCTTCAGAATTTCACAGAGTTTATTGTGATCCACACAGTGTAAGGCTTTGGCATAGTCAATAAAGCAGAAATAGATGTTTTTCTGGAACTCCCTAGCTTTTTCAATAATCCAGCGGATTTTGGCAATTTGATCTCTGGTTCCTCTGCCTTTTCTAAAACCAGCTTGAACATCTGGAAGTTCTCGGTTCATGTATTGCTGAAGCCTGGCTTGGAGAATTTTGAGCATTACCTTACTGGAGTGTGAGATGAGTGCAATTGTGCGGCAGCTTGAGCATTCTTTGGCATTGCCTTTCATAGGGATTGGAAGGAAAACTGACCTTTTCCAGTCCTGTGGCCACTGTTGAGTTTTCCAAATTTGCTGGCATCTTGAGTGCAGCACTTTCACAGCATCATCTTTCAGGATTTGAAATAGCTCAGCTGGAATTCCATCACCTCCACTAGCTTTGTTCATAGTAATGCTTTCTAAGGCCCTCTTGACTTCACATTCCAGGATGTCTGGCTCTAGGTGAGTGAACACACCATCGTGATTATCTGGGTCGTGAAGATCTTTTTTGTACAGTTCTTCCGTGTATTCTTGCCACCTCTTCTTGATATCTTCTGCTTCTGTTAGGTCCATACCATTTCTGTTGAGTCCATTTTTGCATGAAATATTCCCTTGGTATCTCTAATTCTCTTGAAGAGATCTCTACTCTAGTCTTTCCCATTCTGTTGTTTTCCTCTATTTATTTGCATTGATTGTTGAGGAAGGTTTTCTTATCTCTCCTGGCTATTCTTTGGAACTCTGCATTCAAATGGGAATATCTTTTCTCCTTTGCTTTTCGCTTCTCTTCTTTTCACAGCTATTTGTAAGGCCTCCTCAGACAACCGTTTTGCCTTTTTTGCATTTCTTTTCCATGGGGATGGTCTCGATCCCTGTCTCCTGTACAATGTCACAAACCTCCATCCATAGTTCATCTGGCTCTCTGTCTGTCAGATCTAGTCCCTTAAATCTATTTTTCACTTCTACTGTATAGTCATAAGGGATTTGATTTAGGTCATACCTGAATGGTCTAATGGTTTTCCCTACTTTCTTCAGTTTAAGTCTGAATTTGGCAATAAGGAGTTCATGATCTGAGCCACAGTCAGCTCCCGGTCTTGTTTTTGCTGACTGTGTAGAGCTTCTCCATCTTCGGCTGCAAAGAATATAATCAATCTGATTTCGGTGTTGGCCATCTGGTGATGTCCACGTGTACAGTCTTCTCTTGTGTTATTGGAACAGGGTGTTTGCTATAGAGTACTGTAAAAAAGAGAGTAAGAAACATGAAGCCAACAATAATAGTAATAATATAGGCCGCCAGGAGGAGCAGGAGGATGAGCGCCGACATGGACAGCTGTAGCAGGGAGCCCGCGGGGCAGGAGTCCTGGGGACAAGAAGTCCAGAAGGCAGAGCCGGCGCAAAGAAACCTACTAGATGTACATCTACAAGGGGCTGAAGCAGGTGCACCCCAAAGTGGCATCTCCTCCAAGGACATGCGCATCATGAACTCGTTCGGGAACGATGTGTTTGAGCGACTGGCGGGCGAGGGCGCCGGGCTGGCCCAGTACTCGGTGGAACCACACTCACGTCCCAGGAGTCCAGACGGCCGTGCATCCGCCGCTGCTTGGGGAGCCGGCCAAGCATGCCATGTCCGAGGGTGCCAAGGCTGTGGCCAAGTACGCCAGCTCCACGTGACCTGGGGCCCGACCTTAATAAAGGCTGAACTGCTCAAAACTAATATTAAAATAATAATATAAAAAAGAGGAAGGAAATGAAAATAGGTTTGAGAGAAAACAGGGTGTGATTATGGGATGTGTAAGTGCAATAATCTAGTTCTGTAACTACATGATTCAATATAATACGTACAGGTGATTGGAAATCATGTATTTTGTATTAACCAGGGAAATTCAATACTAATAGGGGATCAGTTATCCTCTCTTCCTTTTCCTCCCAGTAGGTGCATATATCTGGAGAGTTTTATTGATAGAGACAGCAAAAGAGGGAGAGAAAGCAAAAGAGACAGAAAGCCATCCACCTTCTAATGCTCTTTGTTTTTAAGTATCCTAATGATGATGCTTACATAAAGTTAAAAAAAAAATCAGAGAATGAAATGGGAATCATGAAATCATTCAACCATTTCATAACTCAGTTATATAAGTGGGTTCTCTCCTTAAATTAATTGACTAGGGAAAATACATTCAAGAATAGCATAATGGGTCAAATCTCCTTGTGATAAACCAAGTTAACTGCATGATTTTGAGCTTTTTGGAAACGTCAAAATAACAATATTGCTGCATATCACATTATCAGCTGGAAAAGTCTAACACTAAGGAGTAATCTTTTTGAAGTGAATTTTCAGATAAAAACAAGTATTTAAATACAAGAGATAAGAGAATGATATTAGGAAATGGATATAGTCAACCTATTTGTAGTCCATTTCTTTAGTTTTATATTCAGTCATTCAATGTATTTATTTGTGCCCCTTAGTTATTAATCACCTCTTTTTCTATATTTTGTTTAGCTATGAAGTGAAGTGAAGTGAAGTGAAGTGAAGTGAAGTGAAGTGAAAGTAGCTCAGTCATGTCCAACTCTTTGCGACCCCATGAACTATACAGTCCATGGAATTTTCTAGGTCAGAATACTGGAGTGGATAGCCTTTCCCTTCTCCAGGGGATCTTCACAACCCAGGAATCAAATCCAGGTCTCCCACATTGCAGGTGATTCTTTACCAGCTGGGCCACAAGGGAAGACCTTTGTTTAGCTATACTGAGTTTTAAAAAATGGTTTTACTTCATGACTTTAGATATTTGCGGTAGGACATACTAATTGGAAAGGGAATTTAGGTACGTTAACTAGATAGTGTACTTGTTAACTTATCAAATTCAGCCCAGCTGGTATACAGTGAAAACAGTATGCAATAAAATATTTCAATCAATGAATGTGGCTTAGGTCAGCAGAAATTGGAGACCCAAGTTCAATTCCTGGATCAGGAAGATCCACTGCAGAAGGGATAGGCTATCCACTCCAGTATAGTCTATGGGGTTGCAAAGAGTTGGACAGGACAGCGCCTTTCACTTCACTTCATTTCTATAATTCAATCAAATAAGGTTTTTTCCCTGTTGGATATCTATTAAGGCATGGGTATAGGTTTATCATGTAAACGTATTCTTTTCAATGGGAATTTTGAGGAGATTTTAGCTAGAACACAAACAGGGAGGTAGCAGAAACTTCTAAGATCTTGAACTAATGAAAGTACCTTCTGTTTACAAACTGTGTACTCTCAAAATGAGTTCACACTGAGGGTCTCAACAATGAGGTAGACAATAAGAAAGCTAAGCCAGAGGCTTTAATTAGGGGGATACCATGGGGTAAGTCAGTGTTTTCTAAATTGTATTCTAAATCAGTATTTATCACATTTATTACACACGCATACCACACATATCACGCGGTAGATTCTATTTAGTGAGGCTGGGGTGGGATCTGAGATTCTGCTCTTCGACTCTGATCCCAAGTGATGCTGATGGCTACTTTGAGGAGGGTCTTTGCAAGTTCTAGGACTGAGTTGGTAAGCCTTGGGGCTAGGCTGGAAGGTATAGAGAGGTCTAGTGTAATATTTGAGCTTCTGGTGTCATTGTGATCTGATCATATATTGAAGTTGCATGTTGGCTTTTATTTAAAAAATATCTTTTGGTACTAAAATTTTTTCTTAACCATTTGTTTTGAAGTATTGAAAAAAATCCACAAGATTCCCATCATTAATCTCTCAGGATGTGTTTGTTCTTCTCTAAAGTTAGTGAAATCAAAGACAAAAGTCTCCAATATAATTGCAATCCATTAACTGCTATTATTTTGAGAGTAAAACTGGTAATAAGTGGTACAATCAGAGGTTGGATCTAGATCTTTCAGGTCCAGGAATCTTGTTGTTAACCTGCTGTTCAGTTGCTAAGTCATGTCCAACTCTTTGCGACCCCATGGACTACAGCATGTCAGGCTCCTCTGTCCCTCACCATCTCCCAGAGTTGGCTCAAATTCATGTGCCCTGAGTCAGTGATGCTATCTAACCATTCATCCTCTGCTGCTCCTTGTCCTGTTGCCCTCAGTCTTTCCCAGGATCAGGGTAAGATTCATTTTCCAATGAGTCAGCTCTTTTCATCAGCTGGCCAAAGTATATTTAAGGTTGATCTCTTTTAGGATTGACTGATTTGATCTCCTTGCAGTCCAAGGGACTCACAAGAGTCTTTTTCAGCACCAAAATTCTTGTTATACCATATGCTTATTCAAATATTTCTAGAGGTTGAGGACATGAAGATGGAGGAATCATTGGCTTTGTAGGAAGATTCCATTAAAAAAATACAAGGCAATAGTGCATGTTGGAAAGAGCAATGGGATAGTGGTGGTGGGGAGACCTGCCCCTTCCTATTTATAGCTTATTCTTGAGTATCTTGGGAAATACGGGATTAATCAGAGAATTTAGAACTGGAAGAGATATGAAAGATTTTCTATTTAGAACATATTATTGCAGTCACAGAAGTTAAGTAACTAGTCCTAAGGTAATTCAGAAGGTGGCAGAATTTGAACTATACCTTAGATCTCCTGATTCTTTTATGAGTATTTCTGCACAATGACTGAAGCAAATAAACACACAGCACAAGTCTACTACTCAGACTGGTAATGTGAAGCCATAGTAGTAGGCTGGTTTCTTACAGTTGTGTTTCTTCCTTCACCATCCTCCATCCCAACTGCAACTGATGGAGATGATGTAAGCCGGAGTAGGGCAGCAGATAGTGGGACCAACAGAGACCGAGGAATATACCTTGGGGAGCTGAGCATTGGGCAAATTGGATAAATACTGCTTACTCATCACTGTAGAAATGGCCTTCATTGTGCATGCTTCAGATTCTTTGGCATTAGCATTCTGGTACAAGAAACCTTTGCTGGGATACTGGGTAAGTGGGTAGGATTTCATGATAGGGAATATGAAGTCATGGTTAGAACAGGTGAGAACACTGAAGGAGCTTTCATGAATAGAATAAAAAATTTTAGATATCTAAAACCAAAAGTATTAATATACTTACTATTTTATCAGTCATTGGTATTTATTAAGTACTTAGTATATGGTAGACTGTTCTAGGTGCTTTGATACATCTTATACATTTAATTCTAAAGTGTATGTGGTTTTGAGGCTGTTTATTGCCAGAGTAATAGCTAGATGAGATGGAAAAGACAGTCCACAAATAAGTTTTATTAAATTTGCAGTTTTTGATTTAATGACTCAAACCTTCTGGTTTCTTAGGCCTCCTATAGGCACATATCTTGACCAGATCACTTTAGACCTTTTACCTTTTATTTCATCTTGTGATGTAGAGCCTTTAAATGACTGAGGCCTGCTTATTACCTAGACATATTTAAAATATATCAATATTTTCTCTTTCTGTTCTCTCTCCACTCCTCCCTAGGAACATATGTAAACAGTACACCTGAAACTAATATAATACTGAAAGTAAAATAAATATTTTAAAATAAAATAGAATTTTATTTAAATTATTAATTTAATAGTTTAAATTTAAAATAATCTTAATTTAAATTTAAATAAATAAATCATTTATTTAAAATAAAATGAATTTATTTTAAAATAAAATAAAAAATTTTAAATTAAAAAATGTAAACTATAAAGAATTACTTATTTTAGGCTCACTAATTCTCAGTTCAGTACTTTTTACATCAATGGTCTAGATTTTGCTATGTCTATTTTGTCATTCTGAATAATTTTTGTTTCCTATAGCAGACTCATTTGGAACATAAACATTTGTATATTATATTGTCATCTACTTTTTTATGTGCAAATGTGTTTTCTCTATAGCTAGATACGATAGTGTATCTACTCACAAGACTTCTGACTCCATATGTGTGGCTTTTTCTTTTACCCCAAAACCAATTCTCTGATTCCATGGACACAATTGAGTGTTCTAGAAATAAAGTTCTTTTTTTTTCCTTTGGGCTATTCTGGATCTTTGCTGTGGTGTGCAGGCTCTTGGTTGCAGTGTACAGATTTCTCTAGTTGTGACAATGGGCTTTGTTGTTCCTCAGCATCTGAAACCTCAATTCCTCAACCAGGGGTTGAACCCACATGGGAAGGTGGATTCTTTACCAATAGGCCACCAAGGAAGTCCCTCAAAGTTCATTTTAAATGATCAAAATATTTGCTTTCTTAGATATACCCTTAAGTGTCTTTTCTAATGCACTGTTGATATATCAGCTTTACATGTTATACCGAAAAATATCTACTGTTATGTCTTCTCTGGAGGAAAGAGTTCTATGGGGTTGATGACCATTGTATAAAGTGCATGACTAACTGGTCAATATGTTTGTGTGTTCTCTATGTCTAGTGTCCTGTGTGTTAGGAAATGCCAGTCTTCCTTCCATAAAAGCCATTCCATATGGAGATGACATAGGATATATTTGGGACTGGGCATTCAGCACCGAATACAACAGATGGTCCTACACTCATGGGGATGGCATCCTAGTGGGAGGATATACATTATGGTTGTATGGACATGTATCCCATTCTTTTTAGTTCTCTTCCGCTTCATTCTTTTCTTTGATAATAAGACTTTCTACCCTCTTCATGAAAATTTTCCTGAAGAATTCAGAAATACTATTGCTAAGACTCACTTGGAGTATATACATTTGTGATTATTGTATCATCATCTGCTTTTTTATGTGCAAGTTTATTCTCCATAGCTAGATGTGATGGCAT